GTGGTCCCCGCGTTTCTGCAGCCACCGCCACAGGCGGGGATGTGATGTGATGTTTGGTGTGATTACTGATTGAGATAGATTGCTTGATGGGGCTATAAGAACGTGATCCCAAGCTAGGGCTGGGGGAAGGACAGACGCGTCCCCAGCAGGATATTGAAGGGCGCAAGTCACGGTGGAGGGCCGCGTGAGGGCCACGCGCCTCGCCGCGCGCGCAATAGTCCATAGAGAGGCGCCCGGAGAGAGTCCTCTTAAATAAATAAAAACGGTCAAACACAAACTCTGAGACGAGATGGGATTTAGGGACATGTGTCCCCGCCCTGCACGATCTTGGTGTGAGGGATCTTCAATCCGTCCCCTCACCTCTCGGGTGCTGGGGTCACGGCTTTACCCGACACCTAGAGAAGAGTCTTCAAGACTTCAGAAGAGCAGCAAGAGTTGGGGCTGCGGCTACGGCTGCGGCTGCGGGAGGGGCTATGGTCGCGGGAGAGCCGCTGCGCCGCGTGGGCGCGCCTACACCGCGCTTGCTCCGCTCGCCACCTCTCGCAAAGGTCCAAAGTCATAGCCATCACCTCCTCTTGGAGCACTTATTCTTATAAATAAATAAAACGGACACACACCAAACTTGGAGCACTTGGAAAAAGAAAGAAAGAACAGACAACCCAAGGGAGGGATGGGAGGACGGCAACGCCGCCACCACACCGGGATTTTAAGGAGAGGGGTGTGATGCGCTAGCCGTCGCCCACCCTTGGTTGGGCGTCCCCCACCTCTTCCTATCTCCCTTCGCAGTCTCTCGCCGCTTCTCGCTGCAACCCTTCATGCCACCTCGCCGGTCGTCCGACTAAATAAATAAATAAATAAATACAACGGACATCCCAAGCTAGGGCTGGGTCGAGGACAGACACGTCCCCACCTTTGCAGGATTTTGCAAAAGCGAGGGGGGAGGGCGCATCGCCGCGCGGAGAGGGCTGGGCACAGGGCACAGGGGATCTCTCTCGCATAGGATATGCACTCGGCGGCACGAGGGCAAGGCTGGGCGTCCTATTTGTGCTCCCCCCCGGACCCCTCGCTCTCGGGCACTAACCATCTGACCACTCATCGACGGGGCTTGGCGAGCGGCCGCGCTGCGGGGCAGGGCTGGTGAGGATGGGCTCTGGCCACTCGCCCGTGCGGTTGTAACCGCGCATCAGCCGAACGGAGGCCTCGACCGCCCCTCGCGGCAAGCTCTCGAGCATCTCGAGCAGCTCGCCCGCCGCCATCGCCGCCTCGAACTGCTCCCTCATGCCGAGCGCGCCGCATACCCTGCGGACCGCCTCCTGCTGCACCTCGTCCGGCGTATCGGTTTCATAGCCGGACGAGTCAGCGGAGCACGGGCGGTGCGGCGAAAGTGGCGGTAGGCTGAGGCTGCGCAGCGTCCTGCGCGGCCCGCTGCCTGGCCTCATCCTCCCGCCTCTTCTCAGACTTGGCCTGGATGATGTCCTGCTCAAGCTAGATCTTCCGCATCGGTGAATTGCCAAGCGGGGTTGTCTGCGTTTCCTTCAATTCTCCAAAAAGAAAAAGAATTGAACAAGACAACTCTCTCTCACAGACTCTCTCTCACAGAGTTGACCATAACCCCTACCCCTTTGGGCGCGGAATTTACCATACCATACCCCGGAAAACTT